GAGGCACAGGGAATGCATGGATGTGAAGGTGGGTAGTCAGAAGCTGTGGCATCAGGGAATGCATGGATGGGCAGCTCTCATACTGCTCTGAGGGCGGGTAGTCAAGGGATGTGAAAGCAGAAAGTGCATGGATGGGAGGGTGGGTAGTCCTGGGCTATAAAAGCAGGGATTCCATAAATGAGCAGCTCTGATGCTGCTCTGAGGGTGGGTAGTGAGGGGCTGTGGACGCATTGCGTGCATGGATGGACAGCTTTCATGCTGCTGTTAGGGTGGGTAGTCACGGGCTGTGGGAGCACAGAATGCATGGATGGGAGGGTGGGTAGTCAGGGGCTGTGGGAGCAGGGAATGCATGGATGTGAGGGTGGGTAGTCAGGAAATGTGGGACCTCGGAGTGCATGGATGTGAGGGTGGGTAGTCAGAAGCTGTGGGAGCACAGAGTGCATGGATGGGCAGCTGTCATACTGCTCTGAGCATGGGTAGTCAGAATCTGTGGGAGGAGGGAGTGCATGGAAGTGAGGGTGGGTAGTCGGGGGCTGTGGGAGCAGAGAGTGTATGGATGTGAGGGTGGGTAGTCAGGTGCTGTGGGAGCAGGGACTGCATGGATGGGAGAGTGGATAGTCAGGGGCTGTGGGAGCAGGGAGTGCATGGATGTGAGGGTGGGTACGAGGCTGTGGGAGCAGGGAGTGCGTGGATGGGAAACAGGGTAGTCAGGAGCTGTGGGAACAGGGAGTGCATGGATCGGCAGCTCTCAAGCTGCTCTGAGGGTAGGTAGTCAGGGGCAGTGGGAGAAGGGAGTGCATAGATGGGAGGGTGGATAGTCACTGGCTATGGGAGCAGGGAGTGCATGGATGGGAGGGTGGGTAGTCAGGGGCTGTGGGAGCAGAAAGTGCATGGATGGGAGGGTGGGTCATCAGGGGCTATGGGAGCAGGGAGGGCACAGATGGGAGGGTAAGCAGTCCGAAGCTGTGGGACAGGGAGTGCAAGGAGGTGAGGGTGGGTAGGCAGGGGCTGTGGAAGCAGGGAGTACATGGATGGACAGCTCTCATGCTGCTCTGAGGGTGGGTAATCAGGGGCTGTGGGAGCAGGGAGTGCATGGATGGAAAAATGGGTAGTCAGGGGCAATGGGGCACAGGGAGCGCATGGATGAAGGCCTCTCATGCTCCTCTGAGGGTGGTAGTCAGGGGCTGAGAGGCACAGGAAATGCATGAATGGGAAGGTGCGTAGTCAGGGGCTGTGGGAGTAGGCAGTGCATGGATGGGCAGCTCTCATACTCCTCTGAGGTTGGGTAGTAAGGGGCTGAGGGAGCAACAAGTACATGGATGGGAGAAAGGGAGTGCATGGATGTGAGGGTGGGTAGTCAGGAACTATGGGAGCAGGGAGTGCATGGATGTGAGGGTGGGTAGTCATGGGCTGTGCGAGCAGGGAGTGAATGGATGGGTAGCTCTCATGCTGCTCTGAGGGTGGATGGGTAGCTCTCATGCCACTCAGAAGATGTGGGAGCACTGAGTGAATAGTTATGAGGCTGGGTAGTCAGGGGATGTGAGAGAAGAGAGTGCATAGATGGGAGGGTGGGTAGTCAGAGGCTGTGGGAGTAGAGAGTATATGGATGTTAGGGTGGGTAGTCAGGGCCTGTGACTACTATTAATAAATACTGTAAGAGTAGAAAAACGCTAAATAAAAATTATGAGTTCTAATAAAGTAATAATCTAACTAAAATGTGAAGAGAAAGAAGAAAGTGAAATAAGTTCATTGATTTCTAGATGCTAACAGGTAGATGTGAAATAACATCTTTTGAAGCAGACACACCAAATAGTAGAAAAACAAATAAGGAAAAAGAGAAATAAATTTTTAGAATGATATTAGTACAGGGAAACCTAGTAGAACAAAAACACAAACCTTCAAAACTCCACTCTTCCCTAGCAATTTAAAACATTTAAAAAGAAAAATGAAACACATAAAAACCTTAAACACATAACACTAAAAAGACATAAAAAAGAAACACAGTTAAAAAAAAAAAAAAGTAAATAGAACAAAATACACCAATAAATAAATGACTAAAAAGATGGCAAAGTTGAGATGAAACATGTTGACTATATTAATAAATACAATGAATTTGTGTTTCCCCACTAAAAGAAAAAGAATTTCCAGGCCAGGTGCAGTGGCTCATACCTGTAATCCCAGCGCTCTGGGAGGCTGAGGCAGAAGGCTTGCTTGAGTTTAGGAGTTGGAAACCAGCCTGGGCAACACAGGGAGACTTTGTCTCTGCTAAAAATAAAAAACATTAGCTGGGTGCGGTGGTGTGCACGTGTAGTCCCAGCTACTTTGGAAGCTTAGGCAGGAGGATCCCTTGAGCTGGGGAGGTCAAGGCTGCAGTGAGCCAAGACTGGGCCACTGCACTCCAGCCTGGGTGACAAAAATAGACCTTGTCTCAAAAAAAAAAAAAAAATCTGTACAGGCTCACAACACAAAAATTAATTTGGTGCCATATAGAAGAAGCATACCTGAAACAATGTGATTCAGAAAGGCTGAAAATAGAGATGAGTAAATGTATTTCCAGAGAACAGAAACAAGAGATTCTGATGCAACACAAGGTAGGATTTAGTTTCAAAAAACTTGCAGAACAGCAACACGATAACAAATAAAAATTGTCTACTTTAAAATGTTAAAGGCCACAATTTACAATGAAGATATGCCAGGCACGAGTACCTACCCAAATAGCACAGCAACTAACCTCTTTTTTTTTTTTCAGTAAAACGTTTATTACTGCATATGTGTTATATTAAATTTACACGATGATATATAAAACCACATACTGTTTATATTATACAGTAATTTAACATCAACAGGAATATCAACACAAGTATTACTCATGCACAAAACATGCATATATCGGTATACAAAAAGCAATTTCACACACTACTGCTTACCAAAAAATTTCTTTTTTTTTTAAAACACAGCCCTTCCACGTAGGATCAGTGGTCCAATTTGGACTGGCGTGCACTAATATGTTCAGGTCAATGCTTAGGTGGCATAGCGCTCAGTGAGCAATTCTGGGATTGGAGTCATGCCCAAGGGTTCTTTCATTAAAAGTGAATGTCCCTGTGCCTGAGGACCAAAATTTTATCCCCAAAGCAAATCCTCCAAGGAATAAAAGGTTGGATCGTCTACAAATTAGGGAGGGGAAAGAAAGCACCAAAATGTTAGATAAACGGCCCTAGAAGGGGTTATTGGGAACAGGGCCTAGGCACCAAGTGTGTCACAAGTTTTTGTGGATCCTTTTAAGTCCCTATCCAGGTTGCCATCTCTGGATTTAAGGTCTGGCCTCCAAGTCATGAGTCCAGTAATAAGAACACTTCTGAGAAGAAAACCGAATGAGGATACAGCTGAGAAATGTAGACTACAAAATACTATAGAATACAATGACTGCCCCTTGTACCTACTTCACACTATTGTATGTGATGCCCCTCAACAGGAAAACCCTCGTGGAGACACTGCCCCGAAGACTCAAGGAGCAAATACAAATTCAAAAATCCCATCCACCTGACCTTGGGATCAAAAGGTCTCATCCCAACAAAACCTGAACATGAAAACCTGTACCTTGATGGATGCTCAGAAAGGTTACAATACAAAACAGCTGGTACCACAAAACTCACTATCGCCACCATTAAAACGTCAACATTTACTTCTAACTAACAAAACATTCTTTACCTTCCCTTAAAGACACTAGCGTCCATATGTGATGAAGATGAGACAATAATTTATCTTGGTTTTAATCTTAAAAGAAAAGGGTGCCATGAAAGTATTAGACAAAAATCAAAACACCACCTTTTTTATTTTGCAAACTAGGGGGAAAAAAAGGACACTTTCTACACCAATGACATCACTCAAACCGACGTCATCAGTTTCAAAGAGCCAGACAGAAAGTGGAGGATCTTCTTCCTGAGGTTATGTGAGGCCTTAATCTTTTTTTTTTTTTTTTTGAGACGGACTTTCACTCTTGTTACCCAGGCTGGAGTGCAATGGCGCAATCTCGGCTCACCGCAACCTCCGCCTCCCGGGTTCAGGCAATTCTCCTGCCTCAGCCTCCTGAGTAGCTGGGATTACAGGCACGCGCCACCATGCCCGGCTAATTTTTTGTATTTTTAGTAGAGACAGGGTTTCACCTTGTTGACCAGGATGGACTCGATCTCTTGACCTCGTGATCCACCCGCCTCGGCCTCCCAAAGGGCTGGGATCACAGCGTGGGCGCGAGAGCCACCGCGTCCGGCCCTTGGTTTTGTTTTAGACGGAATCTCATCCTGTCGTCCAGGCTGGAGTGCAGTGCTGCCATCTCGGCTCACTTCAACGTCTGCCTCCCGGGTTCAAGAGATTCTTCTGCCTCAGCCTCCTGAGTAGCTGGGACTACAGGCGCATGCCACCACGCCCGGCTAACTTGAGCATTTTTAGTAGAGGCGAGGTTTCACCATATTGGCCAGGCTGGTCTCCAACTCCTGGCCTCGTGATCCGTCCGCCTTAGCCTCCCAAAGTGTTGGGCTTAGAGGCGAGAGCCACCGCGCCCGGCCACAAACTGTCTTTTAAGAACAGGAAGTCGGGCCGGGCGCGGTGGCTCAAGCCTGTAATCCCAGCACTTTGGGAGGCGGAGGCCGGTGGATCACGAGGTCAAGAGATCGACGTTTCACCTGGTCAACATGGTGAAACCCCGGCTCTACTAAAAATACCAAAAATTAGCTGGGCATGGTGGTGCGCTCCTGTAGTCCCAGCTACTCGGGAGGCTGAAGCAGGAGAATTGCTTGAACCCAAAAGGCGGAGGTTGCGGTGAGCTGAGATCCTGCCATTGCACTCCAGCCTGGGTAACAACAGCGAAAACTCCATCGCAAAAAAAAAAAAAAGAGCAGGAAAAAGAAAGGTAATATATATTTTAAGGAGGTCCAATTTTAGGGGAGATAATAAGCTTGGGTTAGGCGTCTGAAGTCAAAAGAAATGCGGTAAAAGAAACACACATGCAAACTCCAGCAGACACCAGCTAGACTTGAGTAGAGAGAGCAGGTCCACGCTGGAAAGTTGCAGCTGCGAGGGAGGGCGAAGGTGGACTACAGTCACGCCGTAAGCCCTCTGCTTGACAAGCAAAGTAGGCGAGACTCACGGATGCTGCTGGTGTGACGGCGGTCGTGGTAATGGTGGTGATGGTACTGGCAGCTAACAGATCTTGAGCGTGCCAGGCCGAGCCGAGTCCTCTACGGGCAGAATGTCGCTGCTCACCGACAGCAACCCCAAGAGGACCAGGTGATTTAGTGATCTAGCCTCCTCCCGCGGTGCTGGGCTGACTTCACCTTCTCCGGAACACACGTGCCAACCTCTGTCCCGGGAGGGAGCCGGTCTCCGGCCCTGAGGCGGGGAAGGGCTCCCCTTACCGGAGAGGGACGCGGCAGCCGAGGGGCGGCCAGGGCTCGGTCTCTCCCGCTCCCGCCCCGCCCCTCCCCAGGCAGCCGCCCCTCGCCCGCCAGAGGGTGACTCCGCGCGTCCCGGGCGCGCCCACCCCGCGAACTGGGCCTGGCTGCACTCGCCTCCCCCTAGATCCCCGCCCTGCCGGCTCGCGCGCCTGGCGGCAGCGTGCGGGACGGTGGGGGCGGGGTCACGTTGGGCGGCGTAGAAAACGGCGGGCGCGCGCACGTCCTGACGCAGCCTGGGCCGGCGGCGGCGTCAGGAGCTGGAGGAGCCTATGTAGAGGGGTTTGGAGTCGCCGAGCCTTGCGATCGCTGAGTAGTAGGGAGCTGGCCTTTTCCCTAAAGGCCGGGGGCCTTCGTCGGGGCGCGAGTGCCGGGCTCCGGCGGCGATGCGCGGCCTGCGGCCCGGGACGCCCCAGGGATGATGCGCCGGCGTCAGGAGAGAACATCGCCGCGCCCCGCGGATCCGCGGCGGGTGGAGCCGGTGCTCACCGCCGGCGGTGGAACGGTCCGCGCCCTCCCGGACTACCCGGACTACTCAACGTCACATCCATGCTCTTCCTGCTTGCACAGCTCCTGACGACCCACCCTCCCGACCATGCACTGCCTGCTCTCACAGCCTCTAACGACCCATCCTACCATTTCTGCCCTCCCTGCTCCCACAGCTCCTGACTAAGCACCCTCACATCCATGCACTCCCTGCTCCCACATCCCCTGACTACCCACCCTCTCATCCATGCACTCCCTGCTCCCACACCCCTGACTACCCACCTTCCCATCCATGCACTCCGTGTTCCCACAGCCCCTGACTACCCACCCTCACATCCATGGGCCCCTTTATACCACACCCCCTGACTACCCACCCTCAGAGCAGTATGAGAGCTGCCCATCCATGCATTCCCTGATGCCACAGCTTCTGACTACCCACCTTCACATCCATGCATTCCCTGTGCCTCTCAGCCCGACTACCACCTTCAGAGCAGCATGAGAGCCCTGCATCCATGCGCTCCCTGTGCCCCACGGCCCCTGACTACTCATCCTCCCATGATGAACTTCCTGCTCCACAACTTTTGTCTACCCACCCTCACCTCATGCACTCCCTGTCCCACAGCCCCTGACTGCTTATCCTCTTATTTGTGCAGTCCCTGCTCCCACAGCCCCAGACTACCCACCCTCACATCCATGGACTTTCTGCTTTCACAGCCCCAGACTACCCACTCTCACATCCATGCACTTTCTGCTCCTCCAGCCCCTGACTACTTACCCTCCTCTCCATGCCCTCTACGCTCCCGTAGCGCGACTACCCACCCTCACATTTATGTACTTTCTGCTTCCACAGCCCCTGAATACACACCCTCACATTCATGCACTCCCTGCTCTTACAGCCCCTGACTACCCACCCTCAGAGCAGCATAAGAGCCCTTCATCCATGCTCTCCCTGTGCCCCACATTCCCTGACTAACCACCCTCCCATCCATGCACTCCCTGCTCCCACAGCCCCTGACTACCCACCTTCACATCCATGCAGTTTCTATTCCCACAGCCCCTGACTACCCACCCTCCCATCCATCCACTTGCTGATCCCACAGCCCCCGACTACTCACCCTCACATTTATGCACTCTCTGCTTCCACAGGCCCTTGTTACCCACCCTCCGAGGAGCATGAGAGCTGCTCTTTTATGTACTCCCTGCTCCCACAGCCCCTGATTACCCACCCTCACATCCATGCACTCCCTGCTTTCACAGCCCCTGACTACCCTCCCTCAGAGCAGCATGAGGGCTGCTCATTTATGCACTCACTGCTCCCACAGCCCCTCAATACCCACCCTCCCATCCATGCACTCCCTGTTCCCACAGCCCCTGATTACCCACCCTTTCATCCATGCACTCCCTGCTCTCACAACCCCTGACTACCCACCCTGGCATCCATGCACTCCCTGCTCCCACAGACCCTGACTACCCACCCTCCCATTCATGCACTCCCTGCTCCCACAGCCCCTGACTCCCCACCCTCCCATCCATGCACTCCCTTCTCTCACAGCCCCTGACTACCCACTCTCCCATTTATGCACTCCCTGCTCCCAAATCTCCTGACTTTCCACTCTCCCATTCGTGCAATCCCTGCTCCCACAGCCCCTGAATACCCAGCTTCACTCCCTGCTCCCGCAGCCCCTGACTCCCCACCCTCTCATTCATGCAGTCCCTGCTTTGACAGCCCCTGACTACCCAGCCTCACATCCATGCACCCCGTGCTCCCACAGCTTCTGACTACCCACCCTCACATCCATGCACTTTCTGCTCCCACAGCCCCTGAATAGGCACCCTTGCATCCATGTACTTTCTGCTCTTTCAGCTGCTGACTACTGACCCTCAGAGCAGCATGAGAGCTGTCCATTTATGCACTCCCTGCTCTTACAGCTCCTGAGTCCCCACCCTCTCATCCATGTACTCTGCTCCCTTGGCTTCTTCCTACCCACCCTCCCATCCATGCACTTTGTGCTCCCACAGCCCCTGACTACCCACCCTCAGAGCAGCATAAGAGCTGTCCATCCATGCACTCCCTGCTTACACAGCTCCTGACTACGCACCGTCCCATCCAGACACTCCTGCTCCCACAGTTTCTGACGACCCACCCTCCCATCCATGTACTTTGTGCTACCACAGCCCCTGACTACCGACCCTCACATCCATGCACTTTCTGCTTTCCCATCCCCTGACTACCCACCCTTTCATCTATGCACTGCCTTCTCCCACAGCCCCTTAGTTTCCACCCTCACATCCCTGCACTCCCTGCTCCCAGAGCTTCTGAATACCCACCCTTAGAGCAGCATCAGAACTGCCCATCTATGCACTTCCTACTCCCACAGCCCCTGACCACCCACCCTCACATCCATGCACTCCCTGGTTCCACATCCCCTGAGTACCCACCGTCCCATCCATGCATTCCCAGTGTCTCTCACCCCGTGACTGCCTCCCTCAGATCATCAGAAGTGCCCTCCTTTCATGAGCTTTCTGTGCCCCACAGCCCCTAAGTACGCATCCTCCCATCCATGCAGTTTCCGCTCCCACAGCCCCTGACTACCCACCCTTTCATCTATGCACTCCCTGCTCCCATAACACCTCACTACACACCCTCACACCCATGTACATCCTGCTCCCACTGCCCCTGAGCACCTACCCTCCAATCTATGCATGCCGTGCTTTGACAGCCCGTGACTACCAAACCTCACATCCATGTTCTTCCTCTTCCCACAAGCCCTGACTACCCACCCTCACATCCATGCACTCCCTCCTCGCACAGCTTCTGATCACCCACCACCATGTTTATGCACTCTGTACTCCCACAGCTTCTGACTACCCACCATAGCATCCATGCAGTCCCTGCTCCCACAGCCCCTGACTACCCATTCTCAGAGCAGTATGAGAGTTACCCATCCATGCACTGCGTGCTCCCACAGCCCCGACTACCCACCTTCCCATTCATGCATTCCCTGTGCCTCTAGCCCCTACTACCACCCTCAGAGCAGCATGAGAGCCCTTCATCCATGCGCTCCCTTTGCTTCACATTCCCTGACTAACCACCCTCCCATCCATGCACTCCCTTCTCCCACAGCCCCTGACTACCCACCCTCACATTTACGCAGTTTCTGTTCCCACAGCCCCTGACTCCCCACCCTCACATTTACGCAGTTTCTGTTCCCACAGCCCCTGACTACCCATCCTCAAATACATACACTCCCTGCTTCCACAGCCCCTGACTACCCTCCCTCAGAGCACCATGAGGGCTGCTCATTTATGCATTCCCTGCTCCCACAGCCTCTGACTACCCACTCTCACATCCATGCACTCTCTGTTCCCAAGCCCCTGATTACCCACCCTCACATCCATGCACTCCCTGCTCCCACAGACCCTGACGACCCAGCCTCCCATCCATGCACTTTCTCCTCCCGCAGCCCCTGACTCCCCACCCTCCCATTTATGCACTCCCTGCTCTCACAGCTCCTGACTCCCCAGCCTCACATCCATGCATTCCCTGCTCCCGCAGCCCCTGACTCCCCACCCTCTCATTCATGCACTTTCTGCTCCCACAGCCCCTGAATAGGCACCCTTGCATCCATGTACTGTGCACCGACAGCCCCTGACTACTTATCCTCCCATCCATGCACTTCCTGCTCCCACAGCCCCTGACTACCCACCCACACATCCATACACTCTCTACTCCCAGAGCCCCTGACTACCCACCCTTCCATCTATGCACTCCATTCTCCCACAGCCCCTGAATACCCACCCTCCCATCTATGCACTCCCTTCTCCCACATCCCCTGACTACCCACCCTCACATCCATACACTTCCTCCTCCCACACACCTGACTGCCCACCCTCTGAGCAGGATGAGAGCTGCCTGTCCATGCATTCCCCTATTCCACAGCCCCTGACTACCCTTTCTCAGAGCACCATGAGGGCTGCTCATTTATGCACTCCCTGCTCCCACAGCCTCTGACTACCCATGCTCACATCCATGTACTCTCTGTTCCCACAGCCCCTGATTACCCACCCTCACATCCATGCACTCCCTGCTCCCACAGACCATGACTACCCATTCTCCCATCCATGCACTCCCTGTTCCCGCTGCCCCTGACTCCTCACCCTCCCATCCATGCACTCCCTGCTCTCACAGCTCCTGACTACCCAGCCTCCCATCCATGCACTTTCTGCTCCCGCAGCCCCTGACCCCTAACCCTTTTATCCATGCACTCCCTGCTCTCACAGCTCCTGACTACCCAGCCTCACATCCATGCACTCCCTGCTCCCGCAGCCCCGACTCCCCACCCTCTCATCCATGCAGTCCCTGCTTTGACAGCCCCTGACTACCCAACCTCACATCCATGCACCCCCTGCTCCCACAGCTTCTGACTGCCCACCCTTATATCCATGCACTTTCTGCTCCCACAGCCCCCGAATAGGCACCCTTGCATCCTGCTCTTTCAGTTGCGGACTACCCACCCTCAGAGCAGCATGAGAACTGTCCATCCATGCACTCATTGCCCCCACAGCCCTTGAGTCCCCACCCTCTCATCCATGTACTGTACTTTCACAGCCCGTGACTACCCACCGTCACATCTATGCACTTCCTGCTCTTCCAGCCCCTGAGTACCCACCCACGCATCCATACACTTTCTGCTCCCACAGCCCCTGACTACCCACTCTCCCATCTATGCACTCCATTCTCCCATAGCCCCTGACTACCCACCCTCCCATCTATGCACTTTCTTCTCCCACATCTCCTGACTACCCACCCTCACATCCATGCACTTCCTCCTCTCACACCCCTGACTGCCCACACTCTGAGCAGGATGAGAGCTGCCCATCCATGCATTCCCTGCTTCCACAGCCCCTGACTACCCTCCCTCATATCCATGCACTCCCTTCTCTCACAGGCCCTGACTACCCACATTCAGAGCAGCATGAGAGCTGCACATTTATGCATTCCTGCTTTCACAGCCCATG